CTCCCACTTCATTGTGTCACAACTTATATTTGATTAGACTTACTTACCAACTAGCTATGAATTTGGACCCTATTCCCAAAGCCAACTGACCTTTAAGATCTGGGATTGCATATTATTGAAGTGCAGAACTGCAATGAGATGTCCCCATTCCTGATGAGGACAGGAATGACACAGATGAAAATGAACAGATGCATGAAGGAAGCTGGAAGTTACTATGGGCACCGAGATAAGGGGGAAGCAAATCCATTCTCTCCTCCTGGGGGGATGGGGAGTTGTCACTGGATGCCTGTGAGGGTCATGTTTGAAGCAGCACTGAATACATTTGTCCTACAAATGTGAGGATTTCTTTTATTGTCACAGTTCATCTCTGAGCTTGTAAATCCACTTCTGGGTACAGGGCCCTGCTGGCATGTTTTGATTAAAAGTGACATATACTATAAGTCCTAACTTCAGCTCTTAGTGCTATTATAATCTTTTGAAGAGGATCAGGAGTTGGGATTCAGAGATCAAGATATTCTGCCATTTGTTTATAGCTCAGCCTTAGGGAGAGCTCATAGCTGGCCTTGCAGAGATTGAGGCCTCTGTGAGGAGGGGGTAAGCAACAGGGGGTGTCCAGTGGAGAGGTTTCCTTCTCATTCACCCTGTTTTGCATTTTGGTTGACTTAAACTTTAGTGATTAGCGTGGCTAGTGGGAACTAACACTAACAGGTGCTTGGTAAATTATCACCATCTCACTCTTAGAACGCTTAAGATAAACCTGTCCTCTTGAGAGACTGAATTTAAAAGTTCCAATTAGGAGTTTAGTTCAGTGATAAAGGAAATCATTTTAGTAAAAGTGTTTGTGCTCACACAGGTGATAGTTTCACACTGAATTTCAGGCACTCTGGGGCTCTGTTTGGGAGATTGCTTGCAAACAAACCACCTTTCACCCAGATTTTCTTCCCTTTTTCTAAAGAGGAAACAGCTGCCAATTTATGATATAACTAGGAGAGAACCAGGGGGGTTGAGGAGTCACCCCTCAGACAGTGGGTCCCAGCCTTTCCTTTTCCTCAGAGTCTTCTCCTGAGTCTGTGAAGAAAGTGAAAATGTGTGAGAAAAAAATTTAGCTTCTAACCTCCCCGCTCTTGTATTTTTCCTAGAAGCATAAAAAAATTCCATGAATATTCAGCATGTGTGTTTTTGACTTACTAAACATTATAGTCAAGTGATGCTTTATTCGACTGAAACTGGGAAGAAGCAAGTAGGCAGTTAATGAGCACCTCAAGTTTCCCTTTTGTTTTTCACTTAGCAAATCTGGGGAGGAGAAAAATCACCGGAGATAAGAGGCAGCTGAGTGTCCAGGGTTTACCCTGAGCTGCTGGGATCCAAGTCTTGAGATGCCATCTCCCGGGCCCTGGCACCCTGGCGCCCTGGCTTTGGTTTGCTGACTAATCAGTATGGATGTCACGCGTCCTAGCAGTCACGCATGTATTAGTGCTCACAGTGACCTAATCATCACTGCTTCATATCTGTCAGCATTCATCTTCATCTAGTGAGATAAACATGAGCACCACTTACTGGATAGAGAAACTGAGACTTGGGGGAAATGATCTGCCCAGTTTGGAATTAATACTCAGGTCACCCATCTCTAGTTTGGGCTCTTTTCTGCTATGCTGCAAGAATTTTCTGGAAAAATTTAGTCCCCAGGAAAAGGGGACTGTCTAGCTTTCCCAGGTTTTTTTTTTTTTTTAGTTGAGGTTAGACTACAAAATGAATGTTCTGAATTGTGCTCCTTGAGGTGAGGGCCTCTATTAGACCTGTGGGACAGAGCCCTGGCTGTTCTCATCAGATTGGAAAAAGCAATATGAACAAAAGGTTTCAGAGAACCCTGGGCAACACAGCCAGGATTTTATAGACTTTAGATTTTATAGCACGACAGTTGAGCTCTGGTCCTTCTTTTCGGTCATTAGAATGAAAGGTGCTAGACAACTGGCCCTAACCCTTGCTAGGTAAGTGTAGAGCACTTCTGGCTGTTTGGGGGAGGCCATCAGTTGTGGGAGACTGAGTCAGTCTCCTGGAAGGACTTTTCTGTCTGCTCTATCTGCATGAGTGAGGCCAATAGTTTCCAACAGGTAGACAGACAGTGCTGTGTCTGCCACAGATGTGACCCAAGAGTGCCCACTTCCTTTTCCATCTTGGTATGAGTGTTTCCCCTGTGAGAAGGTCAAGACAGATTAAGTAAGCAGGATGAAATGCTTCAAAAGAGAGAGTAAAATGGAGAACATGCCATTTTAAAGTTCGTTTGCCATTTTTAAGGTGCTTTTCAATCTAGAATTCTTGTTAACAAAAGATACAAAGATTAAAGTAGTATAAACATTAATTAAATATGAAATAGTATAGCAAGATGGAGAAGCATAGACTTTGAAGTCAGGTGGAGTTTGTGCCCTTGCTCTGGCTGTGTGACTTTAGTGAATTATGTGACTCCTCTGAGCCTCAGTTTTCTCATCTATAAAATGGGAATAATAGCACTTCCTATGGATGGCACAAAGTAGATGGCACTGTTGGGATTATCCAACAGTGCTTGATGCAAGAAAATGGCAGTGACAGTAGACTGGAGAGAAGACACAAAATGACAGTGTATCCCTTACCAGCGAGGACCTTACAAAATGATCTGAGGCTTTACATTTCCATGGAGGACTTTCCAGGTGTAAAATTTATGCTGCTTTGTTTTTCATCCCAGGTTTGGACTTCCCCAAAACTCAAAGGGACCAAGGCCACTTGCTAATGCGACAAAAACCAGCTCCTTAATCCCCACCCCAGTGACTTTTGCTGGGAGTAGAGTGGTGGGCCCAGCCAGCCTCCTCTCTCACCAATGCCGCCCTTGGCAGGATCTGAGGACCGGTGGCAGCCATGCCTCCCCTTGCTCCAGCCACTCCTTCCTCCCTGCACTAACCATCGTGGTGTGGATACCTTCAAGAACCCTGAGAACTGATTGTCTGACCTTGCTTCACACTCCTAGTAACAACTCCCCAAGATGTCACTCGAGTGGCTAGTGGCCTGGAGCTGGTCACTGGATGGCCTGAGGGACTGCATCGCCACTGGCATCCAGTCAGTGCGGGACTGCGATACCACCGCCATCGTCACTGTGGCCTGCCTGCTGGTCCTGTTTGTGTGGTACTGTTATCACGTGGGCAGGGAGCAGCCCCGGCCCTACGTCTCCGTCAACTCCCTCATACAGGCCGCCGACGCCAACGGGCTGCAGAACGGCTACGTGTACTGCCAGTCCCCCGAGTGTGTGCGCTGTACCCACAACGAGGGCCTCAATCAGAAACTCTATCACAACCTGCAGGAGTACGCCAAGCGCTACTCCTGGTCCGGCATGGGCCGCATCCACAAGGGGATCCGAGAGCAGGGCCGCTACCTCAACAGCCGGCCCTCTATCCAGAAGCCCGAGGTCTTCTTCCTTCCTGACCTCCCCACCACACCGTATTTCTCCCGGGATGCACAGAAACATGACGTGGAACTGCTGGAACGAAACTTCCAGACCATCCTGTGTGAGTTTGAGGCCCTCTACAAAGCTTTCTCAAACTGTAGCCTCCCCCAGGGCTGGAAAATGAACAGTACCCCCAGCGGGGAGTGGTTCACCTATTACCTGGTCAATCAGGGAGTGTGTGTTCCCAGGAACTGCAGGAAGTGCCCACGGACGTACCGCTTGCTTGGAAGTCTTCGGACCTGTATTGGGAATAATGTTTTTGGGAATGCGTGCATCTCCGTGCTGAGTCCTGGGACTGTGATAACAGAGCACTATGGACCCACCAACATCCGCATCCGATGCCATTTAGGTATGTTGGAGGGACCCGGGTCTCCAGGCATGTGCGAGTCTAAGTACAGTCTCTCTGACTTGTAAGAATCAAAACATCCCAGAAGCTCAAGTAGCCAGAATTGTGCCTTTTCACGTTCTTCACTGTACTTTCATCAGAAATTGATGTACTGCATGTAAACTATTTTGATAGCAGAGATTGAGTCAAAGAGAATCTTATGATCAGTGTAAACCTAATTTCTAACAGAAGCTCTGTCCAGAAGAGCTTTCTGCAGTGATGGAAATGTTCTCCATCTTCATTGTCCAACTTGGTAGCCACTAGCCACATGTGACTATTTAGCGCTTGATATGTGGCTCCTGCAACTGATGAAGGACTCAGTTTTAAATTTAAATTTCAGTAGGTGCATATGGCTAGTGGCTACTGTTTTGGACAGGGTAGCTCTCAGAGACTGTTAAAATGATTACTGACATTCCTAATGACATCCAGGAGACTGTGAAAGATACTGAGTGCCTGTGGGGTGATCAGGGATGAAAGGATACTTGGTATTAAGTTTATTTTATTCTAAGATAATTGGTAAGATGTGTATTGTATGTATGGTAGTGGTTTTGCAAATAAGAGTCCAGAGTTAGACTGCCGTTGCATCCTATGCCAGCTAACTGTGTTACTTTGGGCAAGTCATTTAACCTCTCTGGGCCTCAGTTTCTTCATTTGGAAGGTGAAGGTCAAAAGATCACCCTCTACTGAGTTATTCTGAGATTCTAATCAGATCATGTGTATTGCAAAGTACTTATTCCCCCGGGGGGGTGACATAGCTTGAGGATTCATCAATATATGTAAGCTTAAATCTACTTGATAAATTGGAGTATTTGTTCCCCAGAGTGCCTTATTCCTGGTGAGTGGTGGTAAAAGGTTACTTGGATGGTGGCCTCACTGGTTAGCATCCCAGACTATAGTGTGCTGAGATAGCCTTAGCAATGTCCAGCTTTAAGTTTATGTCACTGCCTCAGCTGCGGAAGGGGAGAAAGAAGAGCAGAAAGAGGCTCCAGGCATAAAGGCTGGAGCAGGGGTTTCATAATCATGTTCTGTGGAGGAGCCTGAGCTGGGAGCCCCGAGTTCCTCTTCACGCACAGCAGTTCTGCTTCTCCTGCTATCTGGGGATTCTGAGTAACACATAGTTGGGACAGAGAACTTCACTGCTTCAAAAAGGAGAAATGAGCAGAGAAGCTGACATGGTAGGTATTTTAAGAGTGAAGGCAGGACAGGGCAGAGGCTCTGGGGGTTGTAGCTTGAGACTTTGGGCGGGTGACCGAGTCCCTCCGTGCTGCTGTTCATCATCTGTAAAACTGGGGAGATAGTGCTTACTCTGCAGGATTAGTGAGAGGATTAAATAAGCAGCATCTTACATGGCCACTTGGCACAGTGCCTGGCATGTGACAGCATTTGATAAATGGTAGCCAGCAGCTCTTATGATCAAATACTGTGATCACTGGATGGTGTGAAAAATGATCCCGAAGACATGGTCTCTACCCTCAGGCAGCAGTGGAAAGTGGACCGGCTTTGGAAACAAACAGCTAGACTCAGGTCCTGGCTTTGCCCGATTTACTGACCACCCTTGAGCAGGGCCCTCAAACTTTTAGGGCTTCTCTTTTCTACTCTCTAAAATGGAGGTAATGCCAGCCTGAGCAACGCGAGACCCCATCTCTAATAAAAATAAAAAAACTAGCTGGGCATTGTGGTGGGAGCCTATAGTCCCAGCTCCTGGGGAGGCTGAGTTTGGGGTTGCTATACCCACAGCGACTGAGAAAGACTCTGTCTCAAAAAATGAAAAACACATAAAATGAAGGTAATGATGCCTACTCAAGGCTGCTTTGAGGAGAAGAATTATTACTTGTAAAGTACTTTGCAGGTAGAGGGCGGTCAGGTAATCCACATGGTGAATGATAATCCAAGTGGTGACTGATCAGTAAAACCTCCCAGCAAGGCACCAAGTTGTACTCTGAGATCAGGAGCAAGGGCTGCAGATGGGGTGTTCTGGGAGATAGGTCTGACCTTCTAGGATCAATGGGTGCCACCAGGATAGAGCAGAGGAGGGGAGGCTCCCCTGGGGGTTAGGGGAGCCGTGTCTAAACTCACTGGGGAGACTACCAGTGCAGACTGAGGGTGGATAGGTCAGGTCAGACCAAGCCACAGAGAGGGACAGCCTCGATCCAGGCTGGTAAATACCACTGTGGGCAATGGGGAGCAATGCTTTTCTTTTTAAAGGTTTTCCTTTATATGTTTTTTTAAGCTTCAGAATGACAGGGAAGGGCATTTGAGGTTCAGTATAGTAGAATTCCAGGCAGGTGTGCTGAGTAGAAAGGGCTGAGGGTAAGAAAAGCTAGGGTTTATTTCCTGTGGGTTAATGTCCCTTGTGCAGCTATACAGTCTCCATACCCACATGTGTGTGTGTAAAACATGCCCACACAGGCCCTCACTGTGGTCTGCCATTCCCCTCTTGTCCCAGCTAGGTACTTGCCAGAAAAAGCAGGCTCTCCGTGTTCTCTGGGACAGCAGGAAACCTTGGAAAGTGTCCCGCTGCAACGTGGCTTGTTCTCTACAGCCACGGCAAGCACCCTGGTTGGCCTTTCTCAGTGTCCCTCTTTATGCAGCATGCCCACATTAACATGTCATGTGACCTTGCATGTTGACTAAGGGAGTTCAGAGAAGAGGTCAGAAGCAGAGTAAGCCTGGCAGATAAATACCTGGTGGCCACACCTTGGCCAGTTACCTGGCTGAAGGTAGAGGCACCTGTGGTTCTAAACTGTGTGCTCTTTAGGCTTCTGTGACTTTGGCCGTGAACGGCAGCGTATGTACACGCATGTACATACAACTGTGCTCTTGAAATGCCAACACTTTCTCTTCTTCCTCTGCCTTCTGTCTGAGCTGTGGCTGATGGAACTGTCCCTGTGGACCTCTGAAACCCCAGCCACTGCTCTTCATTTACACAGCCCATTTGTTGGGGACACGGTTGCTGAGTCCTGCTGTGAGCTACCTCTGGAAGTGGCATCACCCAGTCCTGATTTCACGTGGAACCACAAGGCAACCCCAAGCCCACCCTTTCCCCCCAGCATTGTGCGTGGCGGGAGCTGTTCAGATGCACTGCCACAAACTTTCAGAAAACAAACTCACCAGGCAGATGTTCCCAGGAGGCAGATACCACATGAAAATGTCTGAGTGTGTTCAGCAAATTCTAGGCAAATAAGCACAATTGGACTCTTGTTTATCTTTTATGCGTATGTTGTCAGATTCCCAGGCAGCCTCACTGGGCGGTGCTGGTAGAGCAGCTCGTATTCACTTTGTCCATTCTGAGGGCCGGTCACCAGCCTCCTAAAGTGGGGGCCCCGGTGGACAAAGCTCTTCCTGCTTCCTTCAGGGCTTGGTGGGGGCAGAGTCGCAAACTCTGAGCCATAGAGGAGCCTGGGACATGTCCGACTCCTCTTGCATGTGCAAGTCCTGTTTCTGTCCCCACTTGAATGCCCTGTTTGGGGAAATAACTGATCATTTCTGCCAGCGAAGCTGGTTTGTGGAAAGTAGGCAGGAATGGTGAGTTGCTGGAAGGCTGGAGCAGAAAGAGGAGGGGAAGTGAGGGGCAGGCAGCAGGGGGTGTCAAGCCAGCAAGCCAGGCCGTTTTTCCTTTGCACCATGGCACGTGGTGATGAATCATTTTTTCAGAGAAAGGGGAACTTCTTTCTGAAACCCCTGGGGTGGCTGTCCCTGCAGAGATTACCCATTCCTAAAGGCTTTCTCCACTTGAGCCAAACACAAAAGGCAAACATGGCCTGTGCAGCCCTCCCCCGAGGCCAGGGAGTGCAGACTGAGCACTTGTATAACCTCCAGCTGTTAGGAACCTCAGTGGGAAAAATCACAGCTCCAGTCAGGATGGATAGTCTCCACTTATTTAATTAAACGTGTGACTAAGAATTGAAACATACCAACTACAAGACAATCAGCCATCACTTTAATACCATTGCTGATAGTGTGGTAACTAGCATTTCAGTTTTACAAGAGTCTGTTCTTTGGAGCCAGCCAGACTCGGGTCAGGAAGAACTATGTAGTTAACTTTTTAGCAGATCACTTAACTTCTCAGTTGCTCCATGTGCAAAACGGGTGAAGTGAGGGAAAATGTTTATTTAGCACAAACCTGTACGCAGTTAAGCCTTCAGTTATCGGTTATAAAGATAAAGGTTGCATAGCAGCCCTGGAAGGTTAAATACGCTAATGTCCGCTAATGTCCCCTTTTGATAGGTAAGAAGGGTGTGGCTCACAGAGGTTGGGCACCTTGCCCAAAGTCACATGGCATATCCAGGAAAAGAGCCAGTTGTCTGTCCCCACATCCTCTGTCCTTCCCTCTCCTCTTTATCTGAATTATTACTCTGTACATGCTTCCTGGAGCCATTATTTCTGGTTCAAGGAATGCATTAAGATACTCTGGCTGCTAGAGAGAAAGCCATTTCATTTTGTCATAAAGGACGTTAAATCAGAAGGAGAATGCCACCTTGCCCAGGATTATTGTGATCATAGTGAGACCACCACTGTCCCAACCCCTCTTCCAGGGCTTTACTTCCTCCTGGGCTGTCCTTCCTAAGAGCTGTTGGGCTGACCCCATCCCTTCTGAAATCATTAGACAGCCATGGTGGTGCCTTCAGTGTGGACACTGAGGTAGTGCCAGGGGCTGTGTCTACAGACCTTTGGGTTGGAAATGGGGACGTGAAAGGCATACAAAGGAGTGGTCCGATCGGACCCTCTCCTGGGTTATGACACCCTAGCCTGGGCTCAGCACTGGCATTTCAAGTGTTCGGCTGTCTTTAATCAGAACTGAACTAGGCCCTGGTGAACAGTTACTGGGCAAGGCAGGCTTCCAAATGCAGCCTCCCTCCATTTCTGGGGGGCCCCATGGTTTGAGTTCAGGAGACTCAAAAGTGTATATAGTTCAAGCCTCAGTCTGTAGCTTTAGTCAAAGGAGTCCATGACCCAGAATAGATGAAGCCAATGAAGGAATAAGTTTTTGCCAAGAGCACAGTGAGTCCAAGATCAGGGCGCCAGCACATTCGGTGTCTGGTGAGGACCTGCTTCTGGTGCATAGACGGTGCCTTCCCGGTATGTCCTCACATGGCAGGAGGTGAACAAGGGCCCTCGGTCTTCCTTTCTGAGGGCACCTGCTCCCATTATCAGCACTTCACCTTCATGACCTTGATCACACCCAGGGCCCCCCCAGTACCATCATCTTGGGGTTTAGGTTTCAATGTGTGGATTTTGCAACACCATAGCACGGGCTCCAGAGGGGTGAGGCAGAAGGTCAGGTGCATTAGAGGTAAAAGGCTCTCTCCAAAGCAGACCACCCCCACCTCCTGGCCAGCCTAGAGTCCTGTCGGCCTTCACTCTCTTCTCTGATTTTCCCTTGAGGTCTGAAAACTCCAAATGGTTGTGAGCTGGTGGTGGGGGGAGAGCCCCAGTGTTGGGCAGAAGGTCGCTGCCTCCTCTTTGACGACTCTTTCCTGCACACCGCATTCCATGAAGGTGAGTGGCTGCCTTCCCCACTTCCTTCCCCCCTCCCCCCAATTAATAGACTTTATTTTTAGAGCAGTTTTAGGTTTTAGGAAAAATTTAGCTGAAAGTACTAAGCAGGCCCCTTTGCATCACTACACTGCATATGCATGCACACATTTTCCCCTTATTGTTTACAGTTGATAAGCTAGTATTGACACGTTATTGCTAAAGTCTGTAGTTTATATTCACGTTCATCCTTGGTGTTAAACGTTCTGTGGGTTTTGACAATGTGTGATGGCCGGTACCTACCCTGACAGTGTCCTACAGAATAGTATCATTGCCCTGAAAACTCCTCTGTGCCCTGCCTCGTGACTCTTCCCTCTATCTCCCAATGTCCTTTTATCCACCCTGCTCAGAACATCATGAAACCATATCACATTCTTGAGCCTAAAAAGAAGGGTCTTCTGATCTGGGCTGAGGGACAGGATGGACCCCTGCCCCCATAGCTGTCCATGGAGGGTCTGGCTCTGCCTGGGTCCTGGCTCTGGGGCAGTTTGAACATCTCCTCTCGCCCCCTGCTCCCCTCCAGGTTCAGCAGAGGACGGCCCAAGGGTAGTTTTCATGGTGGATTTGTGGCATCCAAACGTCGCAGCAGCAGAACGGCAGGCCCTTGACTTCATCTTTGCTCCAGGACGATGAGAACGTTGCCCATGTCAAAGTCGGCAAGAGGGGCTGAGGTGAGCTGGGCAGACTGTGCTACCATCCAGCCTCCACCTGTGTTAGGATTCCACACTCAGAAACCTGCCTCATGGAAAGCTCTTTCTTGGGATTTTTATATCCTGTTGGGTCCCTCTTTCCTTTGGTTATTGTAAATGGAAACTTCTCAGCTTCTATTTCCTTAGGGTTTTTGTTGTTGTTGTTGTTCTCCTTCCAACCATTTGCTTCTGAGATTCCTTTCTGGCCTAATAGTGCATTCTTTTGACTCTGTGATCAGAGACTCAGTGCCCCCTGTCGGTCTGTGTTACTTTGCTACTTGTTTTTCTTCAGTGCTGTGAAATAGAGTAACCAAATGGCTATTTGTCTGAATGTAATAATGTAGAATTTCTTGTGGTCATCTTAAAAGAAAAAAAAAAAAAACCTAAAAACTGCAAACCAGAAGACTGGAGAACTTGGCCTCTGATGTTGGCACATAGGGGACCCTTCAGCCACTTCAGGGTAGGGGGAGAGTCTGCAGCCCCCACACTGACCGGCTTCAGTAACCAGGTGGAGAGACTGCCAGACACGGTCAGGGTGGTCCATAGCATCTGGGCCCAGGGAGACTGTCACCATCACTCACCTCACTCCAACCCCTGTCAGGTCCCTGATGGCAAAAGCGTTTGGCCAGTGGGACTGGAGACTGTCCCTAAACTCAGCGCTTCTACAAAGCAGAAGCTGGAGTCCCCAAGAACCAAGCTGTAGCTTACACAGATCAGCCACAAAATGTGTAATCCACTTACCTCACTGCCTACAGAAGCCCTACTGCCAAACTAGGCCTGGAAAATTCCCAGTTTTAGTTGTTTTGAGTCTGTGGTGATGAACGGTAAGACCACCGGGTTGGCTGGTAAGAGCTGCGGTGGGATCAGACCTCCCTCCTGCAGCAACATTCTGGGAAAGCCTTTCTTTGGCAAAACTGGAATCAGAACACCTGACCAAAGTGTCTGTTTTGCTTTGGAGTTCTGTAGCCTATGGTTTTTATCATTTATTTGTCTGTACATAAATGTTCAAACACCAGTATGGAGATAGTGCAAGAGTCGGCCCTATGTCTTTGTCACTGCACAGAGGTGTACATGGAGTGACAGTGAACCAAGCCAATGTGTGTGAGCAAGGACACAGGGAAGATCCACAGACCCAAAGGACCCATGGTCACTGTGCTGGCTTTCTGGTCTCCTGTGAAGAACATGCAGAATCCCTCCCCAAAGAGAAAGAAAGGCTCTGGAGGCCAGTTTTGGGCACTCAGCCTTTAACTGCTTATGTGACCATGTAGCCAGCCAGCCACACTAGAGATGCCTTTTTTGGAATAATATATTATGGGCAGTGTCAGATTTATACACGTAAAGCCAAGGAGTAGTCTGGAACATACCTAGTCCCTGGTACAGACCCAATGTTTCCGTCAGAATGGAAACCAGCAGCTTCTCTAAGGTACAACTGTCTGACATCCAAACCATCTGAAATGCACTAGGGAGTTATGAGCAAATGTGCAACTGAACTTGTCTGCATTGGAGTATAATATCTACACAGGTGTTTGTCAGTGAGTAGAATGCAGGGAAAGGCAGAAGTTTCAAATACAGCTGAAGTTTTTCTACAAATTAATTATCTTGTTAAAGAATCACCGAGGTGCATGATTTCTATACATCCTGACTGCTCAACGTTTACAAAACCAACAGCCCACACAGGTATCTGGCTACCTGTATTCATGTGACATGGTTGGGGAATCAGAAGATAAATAAAAGATCTTGCTGAAAACCAGACGGATGTGATAAAGTCATCTATTGTAAAGTCGCACCGGGCAGCAGCCCTGAGTGGGGTACATGTGTGATTTTGAGGCTCTTGTTTTGTGTCCTAGAGATAGGCAGTACACAAAGTGACCAAAGTGTACTTCTAGAATAGTGGGCATGGCGTGCTGGAGAGAAGAGCAGATCTCTGGAATGGTAAGGAATGGTAGATGTCAGACTTGGCAGACATCAAGGTATTTGGCTTCAGGAAAGATGAGCACTTGGGACTCAGCGCCAGAAGTCAGCTCCCTTGTGACCTGAGCAAGTCCCTTGGCCTCCTGCAGTCTCAGTCTGCCCCTCTGTAGAGACATCACCTGGCAGATAACAGTGCTGGTTCCCTTACCGCCACAGCAGAGGGGAGAAGCAGGTGGGGAGGAAGCATGGTGCAAAGAAGAGAAGCGGACGCTCCCCGGATCTGCCTGTGGCCGGGGAGCCGGGGCTGCTTCCAGTGGCCTTCCTGATCACAGAGAATGAGAATACCCCTCCAACAGCTATGTTTTGTACTTTTTTCACTCTGTCTTACAAGATGGAGAAGTGACATTCATGGCCAGGAGGCCCAGGTGTTTTTGCACAAAAGCCAGGTTCCAACCGGCATTCGTGGCTGGGCTGCCTGCCGTACAACAGAAGGGCAGAGCGCCACTCGCCTGGGACCGCGCTGTTTCTCGCCCTCCTGAAGTATGCATTGCCAACTAGGCACTTGCTAAATTAATTTATGTGTGACAGCTAGTGATACTCAAGGTGAGAAACGGGAGCTGGCCTGCCCAGCCGCAAACGGGAACCCTGCCTTCCACTGGCAGCAGCCTGGATTCACCTCTAGCTCCCCTCCTACCATGCAGTCCAGGTGACACCAGTTATTTGACTCGTACAAGGTCACACCCAGATTTCCTGATGCCAAACCATTTCTCCCAAGCACCCGGTGATCATGCCCTGGAGTTAATCTACATCGTCTGGGTTATGTCTTAGGTGACAGTGACCAAGCTTGTAATACTTAAGTGCCCTACAGCCTGTCTAGGAGAGAGGAAGAGTAATCCTGATCCACTGGCTCTTGCCTTTGGCTGCACAATGCATTATCACCTGTCAGCCAGGGAGCTTCAGAAAGTATCATGCCCATGCCTCACCCCCAAGCATCAGATTTCTTTGCTCTGAGAGCAAGACCCGGGCACGGGTATTTTTAAAAGCCCATTTCCTGTCGTGATTCTGATGTGTGGTGGGGGCTGAGCGTCCCTGCTCTGAATAACAAGAATGGTAAGGCCTCTGAAATTAGTCGGGTAGAGTCTGGGCTGTGTTTCCATGTGATGCTCGGAGGGTCACCCAACTGTGGTCTCTAGAGGGCAGTTTTTAACCCCCTCTTGCCAACACTACCCTGAAGAGCATCTTGCAAGACCATAACATCCGCTGTGCCTAGTCCTGCAGTGTCCTTGACCTGACCCAGCCCCCAACTCTCAGGCTGGGCCCGTGATCCAGACTTGACCAATCAAGCCTCCCAAACTCCTGGCCGCTCAGACT